AAAAGAACTGTAAAACCAGATTTTATAACTACTTACAAAATTCATATCATAATATCAAGTAATTAAATTATTAAGATTATTTAGTTGTGATTGGATTTTAATCATCTCTATTTTATCATTTACCAAGTAAACTACACTTTGGGTCCAAATGCTTATTTCTATGTTTTAATTATTATAATGACAATAGAATATAACATTAATGTAAGCAAAAACATTATTTAAAAACGATTTCACTTAATAAATAAATGTGGAAAAATGTAAATTGTCAGTTTTTGATGAAATTCCTATTAATTACAATTTTAAAGAAGCATATCCATAATGCAATCATTAAGTTTATAATTAAGGAAATTGTTCATCATCTTATGCTATTGCTGTTTCTTCTTCATTCTCAGATAGAGTATGCAAATAAAATTAGACTTAACAATTATCTGCTTAAAATCTATTATCTTGTGATGGTAAATTAAACTTAGGATGTAAAGGAGGACATTTAACAAGATCAGCTGATTATATAATAAAACATGGATTAACTACAAATTAATGTCATCCTTTTAGAGGAGATGATATATTTAAAGAATGTACAAATACACTTGAACATTGTTAAAGATATAAAGCTAATTCATATTGTTAATTATAAAATAAAGAAGTATTATTTATTTACAATATAGGATATAAAAAGAGATCTTTTTATTAATGGAGCTGTAGTTGCAATTATGCCAGTTTATAAGGACTTTGTAATTTATAGAGATGGCATTTATTAGGTATTAGAAGGTTAACCACATTTTCATGGAGGATAGGCTATCAAAATTATAGGATGGGGTGAATTAAATGCTTAATAGTATTAGAAAATACTTGGGGAGATACATGGAGAATTAATGGATTGGCTAAAATAGCTATTGATAGTTTCTCTGAAATGTCTTAATGAATAGAACACCTTCTAATTCTTTGTATTCAAGGAATTCAAGAAATTCTTCTCATTCACCTAGTCTTTAGTATAATTTTGTAACTCCAGAGAAACTTGTGAGAGTTAGTGGTATTCTGGAGTTAAGATAAATTCAATTTAAAAGAATGGAAACAGAATTATAATTGAAATTGTTGAAACAGTTAACAAAGTAAAAGAACAATAAAAGTTATAAGAGTACATATAGGAACTTGAAAATAGTAATAATAATTCTATTGATAGATTAAATTCCATAAAGAAATAAAGAATAAGAATAATTAGAAAAGAGAATATTAAAATTACTATAAAAAAATCATGATTTTGAATTAGAAATGGAATTAATTAGATTAGAAAATGAGCAATTAAAGTAATTACTAATTGAACAATAGACAAAGATTATTGAATAAAACTAAAAAATAATGACTCTTAAGATTTTAAAAGATGGATTTAAAAAATATAGTTTTAGTGATTACTTCAAATAATAAAATTAATGATATTAATATTTTTATGATATATATATAAATATTAAAATCAAAGATAATATGGTATCTAAGTTTTAACTAGGATAGGTTTTGATAACATCACCAACTCTGTTTACAACAATATGCGTATTCTAAACTCAAGTTAATATTTTGACTAATCCAAACCAATTTCTATAATTGTAACATTAATAATAAGTGAATTTCCAAAATAAATCTTCTTTCCAATTAGTAGTATTTTCTAAAACTGTACAATGTGTAGGTGTTGATGTACCTTAATTGACTTATTATGAAATCATGAAAATATTAAAACTAAATATACAACTCTATCAGCAACTACAATTCCATAATTTTCATTTTAATTAATCTGAAAAGAATCTATCATTAATTATTCTCTTATTCAATAGAATAAATGGAAATTATGGTAATTTTAGATTATACTTATATTATGTAATCTCTTTAATTGTTTCTACTTCTTCTTAATATAATTTATATATTTATGAATTTCCAACTATCTCTACTATAATTGTATCTGATAATTTATTATTATTATATTTATAATATTCTTATAAGTTTTATTCAAGAATCTTTGCAACTTCTCTATTTATTTCTTTTCCTTTAGCTAAATAAAGTCTTTGTAAAGTTTCTATCATAAAGATATTTAATGTATAATTAAAAAAATCAAAAATAGGGATCTAAAGTCACTTAAAAAAAATATGGATCTAATATATAATTATAATATCCTTAGATTTTTTCAATGATAAATTTTAGTTATCTTTCTTTGTTCTTTCATAGTTTTTAAATCTTAATAAATGATTAATCCTATTACCCAATGTTATTAAATTACAATCTTATTACTTCATTATTAAATTACAAAATGTTAAATTTTTTCATAGATTCTCAACTTTATCAACTTTATTTTCTTAAAAGCAAGATCTGTTAATATGAAAATTTCTTCTCTACTCCTTTTTGTAGATAAGAATGTTAGATGTACTTCTATTTTATCAATTTTTCTTAATTTATATAATAATTTATATAATATCTAAGTATTATTGATTAATACTTAATTGAAGACATTAAAATAAATCAAATTTGAATACCTCATCATATAAATTTAGGTAAAATAATGTTCAAATAGATTTATCTTGAACATGTATTGAAAATACTTATCCTAGAATTAGAAGTACAAATTACAATTACTGAAATAACTCTTTATAATATAGGTATAATTATAAAAGCACAATAGCAATATTATAAGCCTTGAAAAATATAATTATAATTAAATAATATAATTTTAATTAAATAAATTTAATTATATTTTTACTATGTCATTAATTTGAGTTTAAAATTTATACCGGTAGGAGAATATTTTTTAAATTTATTTAAATTAATGATTACTCTATAAGAAGTATTTGGAGAAAATTTATTGAAATCACCACCTAATTTAGAAATGGCAGAGAATCATAATGTAAAATTATATTATACTAAAAAAGAAAGCTTAAATTATCCATGAAGCAATTGTAGAAAAATCAGAAAGATGTTCTTGCTGCAATCAGCCTATTTAAACAATGAAGTATTCCAAATGATCTGATTTAAATGTCTTCCTTAAATATGGAAGCTAATTCAAATATTTTTTAGTATTGAAGGTTTATTTTATACTACTTAGTATGTAGTTGTAAGTATAATATTTATATAATAGTACTATCGCTGGATTATACAATTTAATCTAAAACTACAAAGGAGATTTATGCATTAATAGTAAAGATTGTAAAAAGAATTTAAATAATTATTTATCAATAGTAAATAGAGTAGACTGTGAAAAGTAATATATAATATTAATCATTAGTTATGAAGATGATTACATTCTAGATATATTATATCTAGTTTCAGCTATTATGTAATTAGTTTTCCTTTGATATTATTAATGCTATTTTGTGGATTATCAATATGATATTGAAAAAATAATTAAAAGCTGCTCATTTAAAATTTAATCTAAAAGATTGAAAGAGAGATGAAATATAGAGTTAAATTATTGATGAATGTTCTATGTATGATATCGAACATTTGAAAACTTAATTCAAATCAGATATCATAAAATCTTTTCAAGAAGATAATGACAAGTAAAAGATTAATTAATATTAAGATCATTGAAAGATATTATAAAGGAGAAAGTAAATTAATTTTATGTTATCTTAAATAAAGAGAAATATTTGAAGAAGACAGATCAAATATATATAACTATTTCTGATTAAGTAATAAATTTGATTGTTATTATTTAGTAAGAAGCTATTAATTATAAAGAAAGGAATTATAATTTTTGTTTACAAATAGCAAAGTCCTCAGAGGTAAAATAGTAGGAATCATATACTTTCAGTTGGAAAAGAAACATATTTTATTCATTCATAATATCCTTTGGAATATATCCTATCATAAATGTTTAAGTGGCAAAAAAAAGATTATATTATATCAAATCCTGGCTACACTCAAGATTAATTATACTTTAATACACTTTTGAGCTTTGTAGTTGCTATCATTTAGTATATTTCTATTAAAATTTCACTTTAAAGCTGGAAGAATATTATGAAATTCCTTTCTCGGCTTTCTACATTCAAGATCACATCGCCATATATCATAAAGAAATTAGGTAAGTGTATTTCAAAGATGTATGAATTGTTAATGTTTCTTTTGTGTTATATCATTCCCCTGATTGATTTATACTTTATATTCAATAGGTACTACATAAGAAAAGTTTTGGAGAGCTTGAGGATTAAATGAAGATATTCTGATGATAATTTTAATAAATTCTGCAGGTTAAATTATATTAACTTTGGTTGATGTTATATATTCTAGGCAATTAATTTAAAATATTTAATAGAAATGTTTCAAGAAATAATAAGCTTTAACGTAATTTGAAGCTAATTAATTATATTCAACAGAAATTAATTTCAATCAAAAGAGGAATGATAATACTATTTTGGTTTTCATTTGTGGCTATTATGGTTTTTTACTCCCAATATGCTATCCTATAACTCTCATATCAAATTTTGATTATTGTAAATCAATGAATTTATAATTTTATAAAAATTATATAAAATTATCCTTAAATATAGATGAGGAAATACTTTAATAAATATCCGATAAATGAGCATTATGTAGGTTTACAAAATAAGAAAAAATTTACAATGCTCTCTAAATAAAACTGCTGAGAGAACTTGAAAAGTAATAGATTTCAAGAACTAATATATAGCCACTTTAAAGGTAATAAGTTTGATTATTGTTCAATTTATTTATATCTAGGAATTTTATTCTAAGTTAATTTCATAAGTGAACTTTAGCATCTTTAATATTATAAATGATATTTTAATTTTAAAAACAGAATTATGAATTCTTGTACTACTATTAAGATATAATAATAATTATATAAAATTTCTAAAAATTTTAAGTTATTCTTTATTAGAATAAGCTAATTATAATAGTAAATTCACTATTAGACAAACTAGTCAGTCATTTTCTTATTAAATTATTTATTATATAAAGAAAATATGAAGGAAATATATGCTG